GAATTCTGAATTCTGAATTCTGAGGTCTGAATTCAGGCACTCCTATTCAGATCGAAACAAGAAACATGTGTTGTGTCAATAAAACAATGTTTGTGAAACAGATTGAATTGTCTTCCAAGACAAAAAATACAACTTGGGATTTCCAGTGCTTTAGTAAGGCAGTTCCAGTGCCCAAAATAAATTTGCCAAAAAGTATATAAATAGATGTTTTGGCTTGTGTACTGCTGTTGGACACAAACTTGTCAAGTGTTGCCTGATACGATGTCATATAGTACATCCACTATTTTTACACCGACAAAAATAGTTTCAGACAAAAAACTTTCACTGCTGGTGTACAAAAAAGTTGATTAAACATAGTTATCAAAAGATTGACCAAGACAATAATAATAATCACTACACTCTAAATAACTCAAACATGCATCTGCTTACTGAAGATAAGTTGAAGTCAATCGCAATGTACACATTCGTAATTTTTTTTTTTTTAAATAACATAAAACAAAATTCGCTGGACAACTCATGAATACCAACCACGATTATTCACTTTTTCCCCATTAGCTCATTGTCATGGGCGTCGCCAGGATTTTTTTCTAGAGGGGGGCAAAACATATTTTTTTTCCAAAAAAATCTTGTATTTCTCAACAAATTCGCGATTTATCAGTATTAAAGGGGGGCAGGGACATTTTGCCCCCCCTCATTAAATTTACACCACTCTGACTTTGCGCCTCTTGTTCTTTTCTTTTGTTCTCTTTTTCTCCCCTTTTTGTTTCTTTTCCAGGGGGCAAGCGCCCCCCCCCCCCCTTGCCCCCCCCCCCCCCCCCTCGCGACGCCCATGCTCATTGTTCCATTCATTCATGCACAATTAATGTTTATGTTTAAATTAATGTTAATGCCCTTTTCAGATGAGTTACACAATAGTGGGCACTATTTGTCGTGGGTACATACAGGAACAAATTACAAGACTAAAACCACTGTAAATAGCGCCCTCCTACTTTTGTGTCCACATTTATGTAGTATACCCCCCCCCAAAAAAACCCCATTAACACTTGATTAGATATAAAATTGCTTTCATCTTAACAAACAAGATTATATTTACCTGGTCCCTCCATCTGGTAGTTTCCGATGGCTCCAGTTGGTTGTGGGAAACCTACAAGCAGAAGCAACAAGTAAAATATCCTTTAAAAAAACAGCCGATAAAATTATGTATGTACTTGATTCCATCTGCAATTGTCGTCTGTACTTGGAAAACATTGCCTTTAAAGGGAATATACAACATTTCCAAACATAAAAAAACAGAACTACCAAATTATTATGAATTACCTTACTGGACTGTTAGTGAACGACAGTCTACAGCATCCTGTAAAATTATGGCACCTACGTCCAATTTCATGGCGCTGCTTACCGCTAAGCACAGTTTTGTGCTAATCATAGCACAAAAACTTGCTGACCTTAAGCACTATTTCACGGCGTGTATGTGCTAACGGTCGCGCGCGCATCATCGTTTTCCATTGTTACGTCACCATAGTTAAGCATTTTTCCTCTGAGGTAAACATGCCTTTTGCTGCGCTTACTGCTTACGGACTTCATGAAATAGACAGCGGCTATGGTAGCATAAAATTGTGTGCTTAGTAGCGCAATAAAATTGGCCCCTGGTGTGCTGACATTTTCAAGAAAAGTGGTACTGTTGTATCAATTTCGCACGCTGGTCGGCCGACCAGCATTTAAAAAAACTGGAATTTTTTTCTTCAAATAGTGACCCCAATTTTTCATTAGTTAGTCTAGTTTTGTTTGCAATCGATTACACACATATGAAAGATTACAAGCCAGATAGACTGGTTCCCTGACCTTACAACTCAGCAACGTCTTTACATTGCTATATTTCAATTCAAGTGGGGTCAAGGAACTAGACTAGAACACTCTGGTTCTTCTTGTTTTTTCAGCATCTACAAAAAAATTTGTCAAAGAAGCCAGTGTAACAATATTTGTTTTAAGCTCTCCTGGAATTTTTTTTATCAATTTCACAAAATTACAGCAAAAGCAATGTGGTGTATATTCCCTTAAAACAAGACATTTGTTTTTTATTTGACCAATCAAAGGAAAACAAGTATATTTTACATGAAAAACCAAGCTATGACACCCCCCCCAAAAAAAGTTCAGGAGATCGGGGAGGGGAGGCGGAAGGTGGTAAATGCCCCTCCACTCCCCAGTAGGGTTTTTAATTGAATCCAAACAAGTGGTCTAGCTTCACCTGTTGCAGCAGAGGGGGTGGGAGCCTCCTGTTGCATCGTGGTAGGGACATCAGTCCGTTGGCAGGCTGCTTCAGATTGTTGCATCGAGGTAGGGACATCAGTCCGTTGGCAGGCTGCTTGAGATTGTTGCATCGTGGTAGGGACATCAGTCCGTTGGCTGGCTGCTTCAGATTGTTGCATCGTGGTAGGGACATCAGTCTGTTGGCAGACTGCTTCAGATTGTTGCATCGTGGTAGGGACGTCATTCCGTTGGTAGGCTGCTTCAGATTGTTGCATCGTGGTAGGGACGTCAGTCTGTTGGCTGGCTGCTTCAGATTGTTGCATCGTGGTAGGGACATCAGTCTGTTGGCAGACTGCTTCAGATTGTTGCATCGTGGTAGGGACATCAGTCCGTTGGCAGGCTGCTTGAGATTGTTGCATCGTGGTAGGGACATCAGTCCGTTGGCAGGCTGCTTGAGATTGTTGCATCGTGGTAGGGACATCAGTCGATTGGCAGTCGATCGGCGATTCCTTGCGAACCCTTTTAAGTGAAAAAAACCCATGCATTTTGGATGTCACAAACTCATCAGACATGTTGCCATGAGCTGACAACACCTCCGTGATACAGAATGCAATCCAGACAGTGACGTTCTTATATTTATTATTAATTAAAGTGTCCATAGTATGAATTTTATCCATTCTAAGTAACCTTTTTTTGTGTAACTTTATGTATACTCCTCTTAAAATTATTTGACTTTTTATTCTGAAAATGTGCACTCACTAACATGTATCAACAAATCGTCTTGGTCAACTGAGAGCGTTGTTGCTGGCGTTTCACTTGGGAGTTTTCTTTTTTCATTGAGTGGTCGGGCACAACCCGACCACTCTTTGGATTTGTTGCGATTAATCTTTCTTTCTTTCTTTCTTTCTTTCTTTCTTTTTTTTCTGCATAGCACGTTTCCGCGGGTTTTCTCCTAAACGGTATATGATATGAACTTGTAACTTTAAACATATAAGGACCCTCACTCGGAGTGGTGCATATTACACTGACGTCATAATGACGTCATCGGGTGTCAAATTACAAGCGATTTTCGTTGAAAAAATGACGATCTTCTTTCATCTATAACTCTTCAACAAAATTATCAATTTTGCTCCAATCTTGTAAACAGATAGACCATAAATTGATAAACATTTTTTGTCGTGTACGTGAACTCACTTGACCTTTACTTCCGGGTCTACCGGAAGGTCAAAGTTAGGTGAATTCAAAATGAAGACATTAGCCTGAAATCAAAACAAAGCACAATTTCTTCCAAACGGTTTACGGTATGATCATAAAACCTTGTGTGAACTTGTACCATGTTACGGAGATGTTATCACTGCTGTTACGTCATCATGACGTCATCAGGTATCAAATTGCAAGCGATTTGATTGCACGATTTGACAAAATACTTTGACCTTTATCTCTTGAACTAAATAGAGTATCGTGTTCGTTTTTTCGTGAGGTTGTAGACGGGGCCTTGAGCACCATTTCTTATTCCCGGGCACAAAACTGCTTGACCTTTACTTCCGGTGTTACCGGAAGTGCAATAGAAACTGAATCTAACTCTAAAACGGAAGCATTTCACTACAGACAATACATTATGGAAGTGTTAAGTGAGGAATGCCAATCACAAAAACATTATTTTGACGTCATCCGCGAAAGGGCGCCCTCCAGCGGCACATAGAAAACAGTTTAATCTTTTAAAATATTAAAACCCTCAATCAAATTGTTATGATATATTGCCCCTATATATCCCGTGAGCAACCGCAAATGAATTTGCAAGGTTTCATAATCATGACGTCATCAGACCGGAAGTTACTGTAGGGAGAATTCAACAATAACTATTATTATTATTTTTAATTTAAATCCATCATTTGATCCCTGTCTCATGACTATGGTTTTTGCCCCCCAAAAATGACATCTGTTACACTTAATATTGACCTTTTGCTTCCAAATACTGTGACAACATCAAACTGGAAGTTAGCTGTTATTATTACATACACTTAATTTCCATATTTCCATGCGTTATTTTTACTTAATGATAAACAAGTGTCCTCCCTTCCCTGTTTGACTGTCGACGCCATCAAACCGGAAATAACTTGTACGCGTACCCAACTGTATACTAAAAATTTATCACACCTTAAAAGACGCATTCTTTTTGTACAAAATAATTGGTATTGGGAATGTTGAAGTTCTTGGTCCTTTTTTTCTGACATAAATATATTTATAACTTAATTGGACAATGTCTAATGAAATGGTTGTCTACCCGACCACTCTGCGTTTGTAACAACAAACGCGAACCTCTAGTTGTTTCATTGTTTTCTTTTTTCATTGTGAACCCAATACATGTATCTTCATACTGAAAACAGTTGAGAGAAAGGTTGCTCACTGGCTTACTGACACAGCCACAGAGCACCAAAGAAAAGAAAAGTTATAATAGCAAAATATACCAACTTCCGGCAACTTTTTGCGCTGAAATAGCTGTAGCATTGAGGTGACATCACACGTTTACCCGTGAATATGAAAATTCGTATTAGAATAAAAACAAAAAGGACATTGCTGTTCCACAAAGGTTGTGATCACAAAAAAATGTGTTTAAAATTACCAATGGCTAGCATTAAAGAAACACACACAGATCCACCGACACCTACTTGTGGTCACACTAAAATTACCAATGGTTTCAAAAATTACCAATGGCTATTTAAAGAAACACACGCAAAAATATTCACTGACACCTACTTGGTAGGGGAAGTTGGCCCTTCCCTGGCTAAATACCATTCATCGTCACTATCATTGCTGGAAATGATGATTGGTTCTGTGGTACTAGTATATGTAATTTCTTTCTTGGAGGGGCAACGTTCCTTGTCACGTGAGAAAACAGTATGATTGAAGTGCTGGCCATGTTTTATGAGTATTACACTTGTTATTGGTTGGATCAAACTGCACTCTTCTTGCCTGTGAGGCAACAGGTCAAGACTCGTGACCCGGCTGGTAGTCTCTTCAACAACAACGATGCGAAGATTCAAGACCTGGCTGAGGATGTGGAGAATTAGATCCACAGAGTCACTGCCATACTGCCCTGTCTGTGCCCAACTCTCCAGTTGTGCAAGTGTATCTTCTTCACTCAAAGCAGAATATGGCATGTACTCATCTACATGCTGAAGGAACTCATCGCGTACCATGTCCTTGACATTTTTCTTTGATAAACCCTGTGCACTTGTAGATGTGTGTGATGACTGTAAACCCCCATGAACAGCGTGAAGTATGCACAGTCCATCTTGAGGCACCTCCACCTCAGTCAGTCTACTGGCATGTAGATATTCTCGCAGGGTCTTGTACCTGTAAAATAAAATAAAACTCACTTTTTACAACAAAAGCCAACATATCGCCACTTGTTTTCCCTTTTTATAATTTTTTTTAAAAACGTTTGCATTATACCATTTGGTTTGAAGGTAATATTATACTGCATTTTGGTTTTGCTTTAATTTTCAGAAGTATTGCAAATATCAATACAATGACCTAAAAAAAAATTGAAGGAGGTCAGGGACGAAGTCTAGCTGGCTTGCACATGTTCACGGTCGTGAACCACGGATCCTACACACAAGGATAGACGACTGTTCTGAGCTTTAGTGCCGTACAAAATGCACTGAGCGGACTTGCCTTAATTCGTTGGACGCATGATAACGGGCATTAATACACGTTCGCACGTTAATCGCGAATGTTCTAGGTGCGCCATTTTGTCGGTTTGTTTAAGCATGATATCAAAAACAAAAATATTCCTAAAACTGTAAGCAAAACCACTCCTTATGTACGATATACTTGTTCCAAAATTGTTAAAAAATAAATACTTCAGGATATAACAGATGGTATTGTGCAACAAATGCCACATTTCATAGCTCATTTTAAAGCTATAGATACTGTGCTTGCCGTTAACATTGTTATGTAGCTATTCAATAATAAGGCCAAAAACGTACGTAGGATCATGAATATTCAAAGTATAATTAGCTGGCTTGACAGACTTCGACACGTACAGATCGGGTGCAGAGCCCTGCAAATCGGAAAGCCGCCACGCGCAGGGGTCTTTGTTGACAAGTATTCGTGGTATTTGCCACCTGTACGGGCTGTTATCACACGTCTTACCAGGAGTTTGGGAGATTCGTTAATCCTTGTGTGTAGGATCCGTGGTGTAAGCAATTGTAAAAAAATATATATGTGCTAGCTAAAGACTAAAGAGGCATTTTTGGGAAACAAAGTCAGGAACTTGCTACAAAACTGTATAGGTGCGAATATTTTACACGAAGCTTGGTACTTTTATTCCCGGTACAGTCAAGTAGGTCTTTTTATGGTAATTTTGTAGTTTGAGGATTTTCTGTGCTTGCAAATGTTGTATATTACCTTTAAAGTATTTAACCATCACAACATAAAACAAGGCACATAGGTATTTCACATAAACATTTTGTACATACCCTGTGTCCATACACAGTGGTGTTATACTTCGACTCATGTTTCCCGTAATCCAGTCTCACCTGAATGAACACTGAAAAGAAAAAGTATTTTGGTACTGGAGCGTGTCTAGCGAATGACATACATGTATTTGATCCTTGCCGCATGATGTCATGTAAGAAAACAGGATTGCAAAACATTTTGCCAACTTTAAGGTGATCTAAAAACCAAATTGAAAATATCATACTCCCACTTCGTGTTCCTTCCTCCGTGGTTTAACTGAATGAAGTTTACAATCTGTCGAAAGTACATGAAAATGTCCTGTTATTTTATTTTTAATGTAGGTGACACCGCTTTAGACACCACTAGACGTGAGCCGATGTCACAAGAATGCGATTAGATTGTGACTACATCTTTTACGTTGAGTGGAGAAAATCGGCTCAGTTTGGCACACATTGTTTGATTGACCATGATCGACGCTAGCGATTCCAAATACTCCCATATGTTGTATACAAAATTGAAAACGTATTCGCAAAGTCGGTAATTGAACATCAATTAGTCAGCATCATTTGGTCTGGGAACCAGACTACCGCACTGCATGCAGCGATATATATTTTGGAAAACATTTAAAAGGAATATACAACATTTGCAAACATAATAAACAAAACAGAACTACCAAATTATTATGAAATACCTGGATCACCTGGCCACAAATGGAAGTCCTGCATGTCAATGATTAATGAAAAGCCGAGTCATGTTTTGTTCATTCACACAGGCGTCGCTAGACCATTTTGAATGGGGGTGCCATCATAAAATTTGCCGACGGACCGTCACGTCAAGATGAGGTTGTCTTGCATAACTAATCAGCGAATCTGCTCAAATGTTATAGATCATGGCTTTCGCCACACCCCCACACCCCCTCTAGCGACGCCCGTGTTCTTTCACAGGTAAACTTGTGAATAATTGTAACCGAATTTCAAACACGTCTTTTCGTCTGAAAAGATTGGATTCTCAATAAACCTGATTGACATTCGTATTGCGTCATGGGTATGGATGACAAACAATTACCAAAGCAGTTTATGCACACAGATATAGAGTCTTATAAATTTCTTTAAAATCTAAATAAAAAAGACTGTCCCAAAACTTAAGGTAGTCAAAACATGCAACACAAGAAAATAGACCGGCACTTGGAACAACCAGTCCAGCACCCTTTTAGTACTGCTTCCAACCTGTCAAAGAAATATCTCAGGTACCAGTCCCTGTTGCTACTCATCTCTCCATAGTTTGATACCAGACCACTGAAGGTCCATCTTTTCAAACAGTTGGACATGTACCAGTCTAGTCGGAAAGAATGGTGCATCCTGACACCATTTTCCCATCATATCTCAATGCATAAATGTCAGTCAGTGCAAAAATGTTGGAAGGACATGCATCTGGGACCGAGAAACATTTTTGTTTTTGTTAGGAAATGCTTTGAAAATGTACTTGACTCTCCCTAAACTTTGTACACAACCCAAAAATTGGCGTCTGGATACTACATTCCTTCCGTCTACTCTTAGTCTTTACATTGAAATCACTTGGTTTAATTGACTCTCAGGTGCAAAATGTTAAAGAAAAGATTTCTTTAAGAATCGAATTGGGACTTCAAACTTGGCTGTTGTTATTATTTGGCATTAAACTAACAGCAATTATGACTTCGCATCTCCTTTTCTTTTTCTTCTTCTGTTTTTCTTTTTGCATTTCCTTGGAGGGGGGGGGGAGCGCCCCATGGGCTGGCCTGCTTTTTGGTCAGGGTCTGCGATAAACAACTGTATTTTATTGCGTTTGCCTGGAAAAGTAAAACAGACAGGAAGAAACGGCTCCTTATGACTTTTTCAAATCAGATTTCTGGACATAGAATCCTAAATTGCCTTTGAATTTACACTGCGCTAGCCAGATACAGGAATTCTGGTGACCTGAAACTATCGTTTTAAACCGAAGCAGGATACCATGAGGCTGAAAATGGACACCTAAAAGAGAGATCATTTTCAGACACTTCGAAGGTTGGAAAAAATTATGAATCGGTCCTGAAGGGGCGTTTTCATGAAACTTGGCCACGGGGAGGACAACAAAAATTAAACCCAATGTCTCCCAGCATAGTTATCTAAGGGGAGAACATAAATATCGGTTTTGTTTTCTTCTTTTTGTTTTGTAATTGTTTTTACAAAATTTGCTCTTTGTTGATCAAATTTTTATCAAAGCTCAAAATATGACCACTGCGTCATGACGCCTATCAAAACGCGCGTCATATATACGTCATGACTCGTGAAATTATCCACGGCGGCACAAAGCAGGATATTTTGATTTCTACAATATTTCAGCCAATTTTCTGCTAGTGGAATGAAAGAATTGTTAGCTGTCCACTTTCGGGGCGCCCAGACAGTCGTCAAACTATATCAGAACATTTCATATTTGTAAAAAATATTTTGGAAGATGGTATCAGCCCCCCCCCCTCCCATTTCATTCTACGGAGGCCAAGTGTCGGGTGAAATTAAAAACGTTTCGCCATTTCAGCACAGACGTGCAAAAAAAAAAAAATGCTGGATACGCTGCTGCACCGACGGAAGATGCCTTTTGATGTGAATTATACGAACCCCCAAAACAACGGCGGGAGAACAGTTTTCAAACTGGGGGGCATCAGTAAAAGCGTGGCCATCAATCATGAAAGAATAAGCGACACCAGACTAATGCACTTGTTGCATAGATGCATGACATGAAAAGCAAGTCTTATAAAGCTGCCCAAAGACCAGAGTACATGACAGCTCACTAATGACAGTTACGAGTGAGAATGGTAAAATATGCAACGGTGTCTTAATGGCTAACTGTTTAGTATAATCCATGAAACTAAAAAAGACAGAAATGAGCCATATGGCTGTAAGAAACTTACAGTTAAGTTCAGAACGAGTTGATTCACAGACATCCAAGATGGCACTGACGCACTGCAGCTCCTACGTCCACCGATCTCATGACCACTTGACGGAACTACATTATGCAAATTAATTTCCGGATCAATCTCCTTATATGGCGATGACTCAATTTTTTACGGGTAAATGTTTGACAAGCGACTTCGGCATCACCTGATAGCAAATTGCACAAAATGAAACAAAGCAGTGCATTTTCAACTTTTAAACGAGTCCTAATCAATCTGTTCATACGTGTATATAATACAGTTATTTTATACAAAAACAAAAAGCTGTTTGCTTTAAAACATGGCAAATCGCGCACCGATATAATGTTAAAAAATCAATATTCAGGCCAATAGGCCGACACGAACAGACCTGGGTTTTCCCAAATTGTTCACACTGAGTGACTTTCCTTATCAAATGACGCGATATCAAGTGTTTACAATTTCATTTTTAGCTCTGTATCGATTCAATGCAAATTAATTCACCTTTGAGCCTTTAGTCAACACGTACGCGCGTATAGGCCTACATAGCTTGGTATAAAGCAACATGCAGAACGGCAATGGTAGATTGAATGCCTATTTATCTAGTGTATTTTAATACCGTAATTATGAAAAACTGTGAATGTAATTTAAAAAAAAAATGGAAGTAGGCCTACATCCACAATCTGGCACTTATATCTGGAACCATTGTAGAAGCGAATCTTAATGGAGACAGATTGAATTGTTACAAATATATTGCTACAAATAAATTCCATCTTTTCAACTGCAGCTGCTACGTCCACCGATCTCATGACCACTTGACGGAACTACATTATGCAAATTAATCTCCGGATCAATCTCCTTATATGGCGATGACTCAATTTTTCCACGGGTAAATGTTTGACAAGCGACTTCGGCATCACCTGATAGCAAATTGCACAAAATGAAAAAAGCAGTGCATTTTCAACTTTTAAACGAGTCCTAATCAATCTGTTCATACGTGTATATAATACAGTTATTTTATACAAAAACAAAAAGCTGTTTGCTTTAAAACATGGCAAATCGCGCACCGATATAATGTTAAAAAATCCATTTATGCCAATAGGCCAACACAAACAGACCTGGGTTTTCCCAAACTGTTCACACTGAGTGACTTTCCTTATCAAATGACGCGATATCAAGTGTTTACAATTTCATTTTTAGCTCTGCATCCATTCAATGCCAATTAATTCACCTTTGAGCCTTTAGTCAACACGTACGGGTATAGGCCTACATAGCTTGGTTTAAACAACATGCAATACAGCAACGGTAGATTGAATGGCTATTTATATAATGTATTTTAATAGCGGAATTATGAAAAACTGTGAATGTAATTTAAAAAAAAAATGGAAGTAGGCCTACATCCTCAAACTGGCACTAATATCTGGAACCATTGTAGAAGCGAATCTTAATGGAGACAGATTGAATTGTTAAAAATATATTGCTACAAATAAATGCCATCTTTTCAACTGTCCAACTGCACAAAGCCCTGATGCTTTCACCAAGAAATCAAGCCGTAGAGTAAACATGCACAATACTTATAAAACTCAAATTCAAATTCCTCAAGTTTGTATCCATACGGCCACTACAATAAGCTTGAAAAGGGTTTCGTGAGAATTGTATATGTCTATGAAAATAAGATTATCAATAAAAGACCCTCACAAGTATACTGAGTGACTGATTGGGGAGAGAAGAGGGGCTGGGGGGGGGGGGCGGGGGGGGGGCGTGGACACAATTTTTTTGAAGTCTTCAAAGCAGACACTATCGGACATAGGTGTTGCTTTTCGGGGCGGTACATTTAAAGACATTCGCGCGACGTTCAAGGGGGGGGGGGACGCCCCCATGGTTATGCCCCTGATCCGCCCCGATGCAAAAATATCATAGTTGACGAGTCAGCGGGTGACTTTCCTAATCAAATGACACGATTCATTCTATGCAAATTGTATTAATTCACCTTTGAGCCTTTAGTCATCGTACAGTACATGCAAAGGCCTGCACAGCTCGATGTAATAAAACATGCAATACGGTACAGACATTATTTTCAAGGATAACATCGAACTGATTGCGCCGTCAATTGTCACGTAGGCATATTTATTGTAAACTTTGTAATGCATGTATGTGAAATTGTATCAACACAGCTGCTGCGCATAATGGCTTAACACTCACACATAATATAACTTTTTGTTTGTAAACATT